GAAGAATAGGATTGTGAGCCAAAGTAACAGTGCTCAAGTTATCACACAAGATCTTAGGAACTTGAGAGGAATAATGGAGTTCCTTGAGCAAGGACTGAATCCAAATGAGTTCAGCAGCTAGCTGAGCCATACTGCGATATTCCGCTTCAGCACTGGACCTTGCAACAAGCTGTTGCTTCTTGGACCACCAGGAAACAACATTAGGCCCAAGATATATGCAGGCCCCTGAAGTAGATCTCCGGTCATCAGGGTCTGATGCCCAGTCTGCATCACAGAACCCTAGCAACTGCATTGGTTGCTGAATAGGAGCAGGCTGAAGGAGAAGACCATGGTGCAGAGTACCACTTAGGTACCTTAAGATTCTTTTAACAGCCTTCCAATGATCCTCTAAAGGATTGGACAAAAACTGACAGACTTTGTTGACTGAAAAAGAGATCTCTGGCCTAGTTAAGGTAGCATATTGAAGGGCACCAACCACAGACCGAAACTGAGTAGGGTCATCAACCGCAGCAGACCCAACCTTGGACAATTTGCTGCTAGAGACCATGGGAGTAGGCATGCCATTTGCATTCAACATATTAAGCCTTGAAAGCAAATCTGTGATGTACTTAGTCTGAGATAAGAGAAGAGAACCATTAGGGAGATGAGTCACTTGAATCCCTAGGAAATAATCAAGTTGTCCCAGCTGTTTGAGAGAGAAAGAATTATTGAGATGCTTGATCAAGGAAGCTATAAAAGGAGCAGAACTACCCGTGATGATTATATCATCAACATAGACCAGAATTAGAATCTGAAGTTTACCTTGATGCAACAAAAACAAGCTAGGATCACATCTACTAGCCTTAAACCCGAGTTGAACCAAGGCACACTTTAGCTTATCAAACCAGGCCCTAGGAGCCTGTTTTAAACCATAAATAGCCTTATTTAACTTGCAAACAAGAGTTCTGTCAGCAACTTCAAAGCCAGGGGGCTGTTGCATAAGGACTTCTTCTTCAAGAGTGCCATTGAGGAAGGCATTGTTAACATCAATCTGCTGCAATGGCCACCTGTTTGTAACAGCAATAGAAAGAACAATTCTCACAGTAACAGGTTTAATGACAGGAGAAAAAGTCTCTTGAAAATCATCACCAGCCTTTTGATGGAACCCTTTAGCCACTAATCTGGCTTTATACCTGTTTATGGAACCATCAGGATTCTCCTTAGTCCTGAACACCCACTTACATCCAATAGGCTTCCTTCCAGCAGGAGCTTTCACCAAAGTCCAGGTCTGATTTCTCAGCAGTGCCTGATGTTCTTCCTTCATGGCCTGAAACCAGTTAGGAGCAGCCAAGGCTTGCTCAACAGATGTAGGTTCAAGGTGGGCTATTAATAGAGTAGGGTGAAGTCTAGGAAGAGTGATTCCTCTTTTGGCTCTAGTTTGCATAGGGTGGATGTTTTGAGGGTGAATGGAAGGTAAAGCTGTGGCAGCAGGGTGGGAAATAGGACTAGGGCCAGGGGAGGGACCAACTAAAGGAGAGGAATATGAAGAGGAGGGAGAAAGAGTGCTAGCTTCAGCTGGATCAGAGAGAATGAGGGCAGGAGAGGAAGAAGGAGAAGAGGTAATGGGAATGGCAGTGAGAGGTTGAGGGATAGGTTGCTGACCAGAAGAATAAGAGTTGTTAGAGGGAGCAGCAGAGGAAGAGGAAGAAGAGATTGGAGAAAAATTAGAAATAGTGGGACTGCTAAGTTGAGGAAAAGCAGAATTTGAGGAAGAGGAAGGCATAGAAGACAGATTAGAAGTAGAGGGAGCAGAGGAAACAGGAGGAAAACTGAGAGAGGGAGAGGAAGAGGATGGAGTGTTAGGAAGAGAGACAGATTTTGAAGAAGAAACCAAGGTGGAATAAGGAAAATTTGCTTCATTAAAAACAACATCCTTGGAAATAAAAATGCGACCATCTGAAGCAAGGCATTTATAGCCTTTGTGAGAGGTAGAGTATCCAAGGAAAATACACAGTTGAGATCTAAAATCAAGTTTATGAGAATTATAGGGACGGAGAAAAGGATAACATGCACAGCCAAAGACTTTAAGGATAGTATAGTCAGGGTTTTTGTGAAGTAATTTAAAATAAGGTGAGACATTGTCAAGTATAGGTGTAGGAAGTCTGTTAATGAGATATGCAGCTGTGACAAAGGCATGATCCCAGAATTTTAAGGGAAGGGTGGACTGAGCAAGGAGTGTGAGACCAGTCTCAACAATGTGCCTGTGCTTACGTTCAACAAGGCCATTTTGGTGATGTGTATGGGGACAAGTGAATCTGTGAACAATCCCTAAATCTGTGAGATATTTGGTAAGAGGCCTAAACTCACCTCCCCCATCAGTTTGGACACATTTAATGGGACAATTGAACTGAAGTTCAACCATTTTCTTAAACTGAAGAAATTGAACCATGGTGTCAGACTTAAGTTTGAGAGGAAAAACCCAAACAAACCTAGAGAAGGCATCAATACAGGTTAGGAAATAGGTATAACCACTGGAAGATTGCATAGGGGCAGGACCCCAAAGATCACATACAACCAGCTCAAAGGGATGAGAGTAAACTGTGGTAGATAAAGAAGAAGGAAGTCTATGAGACTTGCCAATGCAGCAAGCGTGACATAACTCAGCAGGGGGTTTAGATGGAAAGGATTGATTACACAGTTTGAAGATTTCAGTGAGGGTATGATGATTGGGGTGTCCCAGCCTAGTATGCCAAAGCACATATTTATTGGATGCAATAGAATTTGCAGCATTAAAGTGTGAGGAAGGTAAAACAGTACTGACAGAGTTTAGAGAAGAATTGAAAAAGGTACTTGTAACATTATAATTGCAAGATTCATTACAAGAAGACAAAGGATTTATAGTATGATTTGCAACAGATTCAGTACACTGAGATATAGAATCTATAACATCCGTCCTATAGGAAGTATTACAATTGTATGCTGCAGGATAACTATGACTAGAACTATAAGAGGAAGAAGATTTGGACAACGGAGGAGCAGCTGGATTGGAGAATTTATAGAGGCCATCAGCACCAACAAGACCACTGAGTAAGACTTCAGAAGTAGCCTGAGATTTGACAACACAAAACTTAGGATGAAATTCAAAAAATACAGAATTATCTTGAGCAAATTTGCTCACACTCATAAGGTTTTTGGTGATGTGAGGGACATGTAAGAGATTGTTAAGAGTGAGAGATAGATGAGGTTTGTGAGGTAAGGGAAAAGACATAGAACCTACAGAGTTGATGGACAAACCTTGGCCGTTACCTATGAAAACTTGTTCAGTTCCAGGCACGGAGGCAGAGTCAGACACATTAGAGGCATCAGGAGTAACATGATGAGAAGCTCCTGAGTCAGGATACCACCACTGGTTTGCACTGTTAGCTTCAGTACCTGCATAAAAGGCTTGTGGTGCAGAAGATCTGGGAGGCGCAGCTCTGGGAGAAGCATAAGCAAGCTGCACAGGATAAACAGCACGAGGAGCCACGTGAAAAGGATTGAAGGGAGCTCGATGATGTGGATAACTAGCACCACTTGAATTGGCATAACGATAGTAGCATACTGAAGCATCATGACCAGGTTTGTGACAAATCTGACACGGTGATTTCCCAAAACGACCTCCTCCACGACCAAAACGACCACCACCGCGACCAGAACGACCACCACGTGCACCATAGGAATGATTTTCAGCATTAGCGGTGACGTGACTCGTTCCTTGAGGAAACGCCTCGGAGATGACTTGATCAGAAGCGACTGGAGTGGGAGAAGGTGTTGCTTGAGTGAGATTGATCGTCGCCGTCGCCGGTTCTGTAATCGCAGCTTTGCGATGCTTCTCCAATCGCGACTCATGAGCAAGCAAGGAAGACTCCAACTCTTCCAAGGAGCTAACGTCATCTTTGCTGTTAACGGCGGCGACAATAGAATCATAATCCTCAGGTAACGAATCAAGAACAATCTCAATTAGGTTACGAAGAGGAACGGGATCACCGATGGAGGTTAGCGACTCACTGATGTCACGTGAACGCGTCATAAGCTCAGTAATCGTTAGTGAACCCTTCGTAAGACGCCGGAGTTCTGAACGAAGTTGACGAGCCTTGGTGGAGAGAAGAACATCAAAGTACCGATGAACTTCTGTCCACACCTGCCACGCATGCTTGCAGCCAACGAGCTTAGGAAGGAGAGCATCGGAGATGGTAGAGAGAAGCCAGGTGCAAATGAGAGCATCCTGCTGTTCCCACTCAAGAAACGCACTGTGAGATGCAGGATCTGAGGGAGACGGTGGCGGAATCACCGGAACAGTGACAAAGCGTTGAAGACGATGACCACGGACGACGCCATCAATCTGCTGCTTCCACTGTTTGAAATTCTTGTCGTCAAGCTTAACAGAAATTAGGTGAGAAAGTTTCACCTGAGAGGAAGGGAATAAAGGTTCCATGGATCGGAAAAAAAATTATGCTCTGTATACCATGATAGAAATAGGTAAAGAGAGAGAATTAAAAGAAACTCTCATTGTATTATCTATTAAACAGTAATACAAGAGGCTACTTTATATAGCCATGTGATACAAAGCAGAAAAGGTGTGAGGCCATAACAAGCTAACAGCACACCACTAACAAACCTGACAGCTCAGCAAAACAGAATAGAAAGATAAAATGAAGGGCATATTAGTAAACTACTCTATTATAAGAAGACATTATATGCTCTAAGCTGATATGCATAGATTTGCATACACAAGATTTATTCAATCAAATTAACATCATCAAAGCATAATGTTCGAAAGTCAAAACCAAGGACATTGTTGATGGTAAAAAACTATGTTTGGAGATGAAGTATGAATTGGTTACTGATTGCTGCAACTAACAAGATGTGAACAATTTCCAGAATCTTGAATTAGCTTATTTATGCTCTATTTTTGTCTTTTTAACAAATACTGATGAAATTTTATAAGTGTAAAACTGCATGAAGACAAGAACAAGTACTTATTAGACTGAACCGTTCCATTCTTCGTAGAACTCTTTCACAAACTCCTCCATGAACTTGTGCCTTATCTCAGCCCTCCTTTTCCCAGCCTGAAATGAATGGCTTAAATTATAACTCGACAAATTTTAATGCATAGGTATATTCTTGACAAACCTATTAAATTAAAGCAAAAAAGTTTATAAATGCAGCAGAGAAATTGTGAAAATTTGATAACGTGTTGAAAATAGTAAAACAGCTGTCTGTACCTTGGTTTTCATCATATCTTTAAGCTTGAGAAGTTTCTCATGGAAATGATTAATTGTAGTCTGTTCCTCTTTGTTCATGTATTGTTCCTTGGATAAATCAGATCTTGGTAAAATGGTAGGATCGTGCAGCGCCCTCTTTTTACTCCCGCCAAAGGTGAAGCACCTTGCAATTCCTAATATTGGAAGCAGAGGAAGAAAATGATTTAAGCATATCACATTTAAGTAGAATTCCTAATATCGGTGTTGTGTCGGACACCAGCACGCGACCGAAATATGACACTAATATTGCAGAAATATGAAGCCTCAAGGCAATCAAAGGGAATTATTCTCTGTTTTCCAGTAATATGATACCGGATTCTATCAAATACCTATAGCACCAATAGCATCAAGCCTATCAGCATCTTGGACAACACCAAATTCTGGACACCATTCGGTATTTCCTTTTCCTGTCACCTCCTCTTTAAAACCTGAATATGGAAGCAACATCAACAATGAGTATTTGAAACTATATCGATTTCAATTTCAGTTATGTCCTAAATTAATGCTCGAAACTATATCAATTATCAATTAAAGAACGTGAAAAATGTAAGAACATAGGCAAGAAAATGTTAGCTTTGCCAACTTACCCATTCCTTTAATGATTTCCAAAATTTTTGATTTCTTATTCTCTTCAACTCCCTCTTCTTTGAGAAAATTTTCAACAGTTTCTTCCTCAGACGGGTCCCTAAATGACAGTGTTAGCTCATATGAGGGGAAGGGGAAAAATATATGAACAAAAGGAAGAAATTTGTAAAATCAATCAAAATTATAAAATTATAATACATACTAACCTTAGGTATTTGTAATCACCTGTAGTTACCAACAAAGAAGTGAATTTATTAGCCAACTACAATTTGATTTTTATTTATTAAAATGAAAACCACACACATGGTTACACAGACAAACAATTCGGCCAACAATTATAGCTGATAATTGATATTTGATTACCTATATCATGGAGGAGTGCAGCAAGCTCTACCTGAAATAGAAAAACGAAAATGAGGCGAGCACATGAAGATTAAAAAATAAAATGTACGTTTTATAATGGTAAAGTAGAAAGAGAAAGAACGTAGGGTAGTTACGATTTCCATGGAGTGTGGATCAGAAGAGAGGCCTTCCTCAGAGGCAAGGGAGAGAGCAAGGTCACGAACCCTCCAAACATGCACTGCATCGTGAGAAGCATCATTCCCTTTCATTGCTTTCTCAACCAACGCCTCAGCTTTTCTTACCCTCTCTTTCCTCTCCATCTCCATCCTCTCTCTAGTTCCAGGAACTGCAGTTGCGCACCTCACTCGGCCAATATATTTTCTTCTACTATCTTTGCAAAATAAAAATCTGCACCCTAGTCCATGAAACAATTAGAGCTTTCAATTTATCACACTCAACACCGGCCCAATGTGTTTCAAAGTCGTCAAAAACAAGACCAAAAGCTTGTTTCAAAATGTGTACAGAATAGTGAGGAAAATACAGTTCAGTGACATACTTGAATTCACAGTAAGGTTGTTAGCTTTCCTGAGTATGTCAATGTTTCTCACTCCAGTCAACAATAATGCAACTCTAGTATCCTGAATAAAAATCAAAATCAAAAGTGTCTCGGGATGTTAGATTACTTCAATCATAATGAATACACATAACCAATGCACATTAAAAATCGAAATATAACAAAAAAAAAAAAATACAACCTTATTATGTTTCAATTCGATAGGGCAACTCACATAAACATTCATATAAACAACAAATTCCAAGCAAAACAAGCATAGCAAAAGTGATTTTACCTTACAGACAGCAAACATAAAAGTAGCACCGCAACACAGCCTACAAAACGCAGATATGGTTAAACTCTAAGCCCATTCAACCACATTTCTTAACACAAATAAAATAAAAGGTGATGTGAAACAAATTGTTAAGTTTAATTCAGTGGAAAACTATAATCAGAATATTTCATGATTAAGAATATGCAGAGAATGAGTTAAAGCTTTAATTAAGTAAGAAAATAGAAAAGATAATGCGTACGGCATAGGAGTGGAACAGAAGGTTGACGGAGAAGCACGCCGGCGCTATGAACGACGGCAGGAACTGCTAGCGGGATTAAGCTTTCGGTGTTGTTTTGTTTGATCTGTGTTTAAGACCTTTTAAAAATAAAGAGAAGCACGCGTGGCATAATGTGAACCATACGATTAATCGAACGGATGTAATCGGAGGTATTAACCTGACACCCTCAAATTATACATGACATCTCTCATTTATTATACATGACATCTCTCATTTATACTCTAGTATACAATCACTGAATTTCATAAAAATTGAGTTTTATTGAAAATTTGAGATACCGGAAATTTCAAGAAAATTGTGATTATTTTTGAAATTACGAAAAATCTGATACTTTATTTATAGAAAAAAAGTTGTTTTTCTATCCTACTTAAAATTTCGAAATTTCTAATTGTTAAAAATTTTAGTATATTTCAAAAAAATTTGATATTTTTTTTATAAAAATTATATTTTAAATTTTATAAAATTATCAGAAATTTCGTTTTTGTACACCCACTTAATTTGTTTAGAGATATTTTTGGAATAACGAAAAATGAGAGGTGTCACATATAAGCGTGAAGGTGACAAGTTAAAACCTCATTAAATTGGCGTAAAGGTATTTGAGCCTTTTCCACCTCAAAGTCATTGGAGATTTTACTTGCCACCCTTCAAAGTTTATCGGGCACCTCCTGTTTTTAATTATTTCAGAAATATCTTTGATGGAATAGAAAAAAAATTAAGGACGAAATTTCTAGTATAGGATACGAAATTTTTGGTAGAGATTAAATTTTCGGTAGTGTATACGAAATTTCTGGTATGTGGCAATTTCTGGTAGTTCATATGAAATTTCCGGTATTCTGGAAATTTCAAATTTACCTCATTATACAAAAAATTTAGTTATATACTGAAATTTCCGATAGTATATTGATTCAAGTTTTTTCAACGATCAGGATTTTGTCGACATCTTGGAGGCTTCTGATTGTCACGACAAATTTGTGTGCTCTAGAATGTATTGTCATTTGTATAAATAGGGACATATTTTATAGAGAAAAACATCTCAAAAAAATTCTCATCCACAATTTCTAATTAAGGCGGAAGTGTATTTCAACGGAAACAACCCTCATGTTGAGTTCAAGCTTCTAGATGGCACCACATCCCTCACCAACTTGAAAGACAAGTTGAATGAATTGTTGTCTGATTTTGATAACAGAAGAGTGAGAATGGTCGAGTTTCAGGAAAATTGAATTGATACAAATGGAAGGGTGAAATACAACTTGATTGAGTTGAATACCGATGAAGATGTGAATGTCACGTGGAAATCATTTTACCATAGGATAACTAAAGGACCGATCGAGTTAGATGCGCATATAATAAGATATGTCGACGACATAATCAAGATGCTGAAACGTCCAGAATCATCTGGTAGTACCTAGGTTTTCATGCTTAGTGTTTTTAATTCATGTTTGTTGTATTGTTTTATGTTGTGTTAATCGTCAACTCGAAACATGTAATCGCCAAAATATGTAATCGCAAAAATATTATACAATAAATAAGTACCATGATAAGAAGTACGTGTCACAAAATATGCATATAACACAAGCAAAAAAACATATCTACATATGCCCCCCACGGGCTACGTCTGTTAGCCTAGATAAACCTGTAAAAATATCACCATCATGGTTTACCGAACCCATTAGGTCATCTGTAAGAAGTACAATAAACTGGAGGCGGTTATCCTGGTCACCTGTGGTAGGTGGAGGTGGTGGTGGTGGCAGAAACCCCATCATTAGAAGACCCTACATTCGATGGTATGAGGCGAGGGTGTGATATATTGTGATACCACTCCAAGTATCCATCCTCGCTCTGAGAAGGATATTGAACTATAATTGTGTTATCCCTGATGGCACGTGCAGAGTTGATGATGTGACTCTGAAACTATCTATCAATGCCAACAGTCAGAGTCTCTGGAACTGGATGAAGGATGCCTTGAATATAACCATATTTTCGTAGACACCTCTCAGGCAAGTGTCTAGACACATGGTTCTCCCACCCCATATGCCCTGAATACAATGAAGCATCGTCAAATAGGCGATATACCCGATGAGTTGTATATGGTGTCCAAATGACATCATCTACCGTCAGAGCGTCAAGCCTTCTCCTGGACTCTACAACATCTCCTACATGTGCTCGCTTTCCCTTCCATCTCCTCGCTTGTGGAGCACTAGTCAGAACATGCTGGATCTCCTGGTCACAAATGTGGGGGAAATGCTCGTATGTGTAGCGGTGAATAAATGAAAATAGATTAATATGACATCCAACAAATAAGTAGAATAATCAAATCAATAAATAGAAACCAATAAATAAATGCTAGTATACCTGTAATAGGCTCAGATAACCAACTAGCTGTCTAGTCTCATGTTGGGAAGCAAATCCAAGTGTCGTGTACATCATGGTCAACATCGACACTCCCCAAGCCCAGCATGGAGTGTCTAGGATACTAAATAGAGATAAATATCGAACACCAATGTAAACATCAGACTTGTCAGCAAAGAGAGTATATGCCATTAGAAGTAACATGTACGCCCTAGCAGCCTCATACCTCTTTGCCAAGACGTGTTCCCCGTTCCTCTCCCTCAACCAATACATTCAAAGGTGAAGTGCGCGATTAAAGCCAAACTCCTTAAGAACCTTAGCCTCACTGACCTCTAAATCATCCATAACCATGTGCACCACCGTCGTCTGGTTAATATGAGGAACTGTGAAGAATGTGTATTACCCTTCTAAAACCCCATGATTTTCACGAATATTTTTAATGAATAAATAAACGAAAACAACAACAATGATGTCACATCTTCACATAAGCTTCATTTCACAAATAATCCTACTCCATAACACAGGTTGCAACCAACACTTAGATATAAACTTTAGTATCACAACTATTTCATTTCGAACTTCGCAGTAGAAATAAGAGTCTAAATTCATGAAATAATCTCAATACCATGAAAAGTAGTTCAAATATTAATAAAATCATCACACTTCATATTTATAACAAGATGATCTAAAACATGGAAATAGTCATGAAAGACATACAAAATCTCAATATAATAAAACCATGTATAGTTCACAACCAATCGATCCCAACCCCAATGTTACATATCAGAGCAAGACTCCCTTTATTCAACGAAAATCAAATAAACACACTCTGAAGCTATCCTCTAAGCTTATATGAACTATTCGTAATCACCTCTGTGTTACCCACGTGGAGACAACATTCAAACAGAAAGGGTGAGTAAATCATAATCATTATAAAAGACATAAGGAATAAATATAGTAGTTATGGCACAACAGCAAGAAACCATACATCATTAGATCCTCATGTTATACTCACACCATCATATACTCATATTAAACACATCACTATATCGTCATGTCAACACACGTCATCAAACATCATAATTAGTCAATCATTATGCAAAGTCACATATAATGCAAATGCACTTCTTTAGACTAATGCATGTGGTACTAAAACTTCACTGATGACTCAATCATCGTTATCTCCAAATATCCCCACCAATAGGATCAGTTCTCACTTGGAACCAGATCACTTCACAAAATCACACTCAATCCACACTATGGGATTGAGGCCATCATTGGACCATATCGTCCTATGTATATAACTTGATCAATATCGTGCAAAACATCATTGGACCGAAGTCCTACAATATGCGATGAATGCATTATGCACAACAACATATAAATACAACCACGACTAGTCAACACACACTGTGATACAGTGGGAGAACTGACCTAAATGTTTTGCGTTTTATTGCAATGTTGCGGTTAGTAAGAGTCGCCACCGATTTTCTTTTATCCAACATGAAAGGTGAAAAAGCACAGGAAATACCTTTGAGATCGTTTCTTGAGTTCGGGAGGTAGATTATAAAAAGGGAAGGTATTACCACCCTTTTCATCCATGGTTTTCCATGGGCTCTTAGTTACTTTCTAGATCACTTTATTTTGTTTGAAATTATGCTTTGTGTGGTTTTTGAAAGTATTTTGAAAAGGCGTCATTGTTTAGGCAAACTTTGTAATGATTCTCGTTCGTAAGAATGTATACAAAGTGTTGATCTTTTTAAAATGTTTTGAAAGTGTTGGTGTTTGTTTTGAAAATAGCAAGGATGTTTTGTTTTGAAATTGAGCAAGTAACTAGAAACATTCTACCTACTCAAAAGTCTTTCTTGTTTATTTTCTCCTTCCTTTGACATTGTTATCTTACCATTGATTTAGTAAGCAACCCTATCTTTGGATATAAACGGGACGAGCGTGGGTCATCGTATAACCATGATTAGCAATGTTGCAAGGCATCTTAGCATCTTTCTCTAGGGACTAAGATCATTTTGAAAGGTAACTTTTGATATCGTCATCGAGGGACTATGATCTTGTGTTTGTTTGTTTTTACTAAGATACCTCACATGTGTAACATGGCCATTTTATAAGGCAACCAAGTGGATTTTACCCTAGGGGTGCTTGTGTGCAAGTGCATTGGTTTACATGCTTGATTTGTCTTGATTAGGGTTTTCTATTTGTTGGTTTTAATATTTCCATACAAACCATAATTTACTAGCATTTATATAAAGCGATAAATTGCGGAAAATAAAAATACTAAGTTATTACATCGTTAGGGGAGGGGGTGTACAAATTTACAAATGGAGATTGCAAGAAAATTAAACCTAATTATCTATTACAATCATATTGAATATGTACAAGAATTGAATAAATAATATACAAAATGAATAAATATACAATCATGTAAATGGAAAGGAAATAGGTCTTTGTTTGAATTTTTAAGAAAGGGTCTTAACCTAATTAAAAAAATGATTAGTGAAAATTAAATAAAATTAACTTAAACTAATTAAGAAAAGAGATTAACTAAAAAATATTTTTAGGGTTTTTTTTATGAAAAGGTTTTTGAAAAAATAATATAAAAATT